ATGGAATAGCTGGCTCATAGAGTAAGTAATTGTTTCATTTTATAACTAACTGCCAGACCTTTTCCCAAAGCTATTTGGCAGTTGTGCTATTCCATACTCCCAGCAAGAATGTAAGAAGCTAGTTCCTCCACATCCCCGCCAACTTTCTGGTGGGCGTGTAGTGGTCAAATGTGGTTTTAATTTGCATTTCTCTGACAGTTAATGTTACACACCTGCTCATGCGTTTATTGGCCTTTCATGTATCTTTTTCAAAGTAGCTATTCAAGTCATTTACTCATTTTTGTTGTTTGCCTTTATTTTTGAGTTGTACAAATTCTTTATACACCCCAGATTACCAGCCCTTTGTCGGATATATTTTTGTAAATATATTCCCTCTGGTGGCTTACCTGTTTTTCTGATGCCTCTTATGAGTAGAAGTTTTTAATTTTGGTGAAGCCTCATTTATCCATTTTCTTCATTTGTGGTTCTTGCTGTGTCCTGAGAACCCTCTGCTACCTGGAAGTCATGAAGAGAACTCTGACGTTTAGTTGTTAAATTGTAGGATTTTAGCTTTTACATTCAGCCCCATGATCCATCTTGAACTGATTTTTGTTTTACTGGAATTAAAGATGCAAAACAGAAAACTCTCGTAGAAATCCTGTTTTGATTTGATAGTTTTTAAATGTAACTTTGCAGTCAAAGTTTGATTTAAAATAAACTGTGGTTAAGTGACTCCTTGGACTGAAGCAGGCTTACTGATGATCACAGTGCGGGGTCTGACAAGGTGAGAGCGGAGCCAGCCATTACTTACTATGGCCAGGGTCAGTCACGGCTTTCCAGGAGATGTACAGTTCAATTCTCGGTTACTGAGTGTTTGAAAAAATAGCTACTTAGCTGTTTTAAAGATGTAGGTTAGTTCTTAAATTTTGAGTTTAGTAATGGATCTGGATATAGTTATTTTACATTTGTCATTCTTCAAAATGGTGTAACTGGTGAGGTCACTGGAGGGTAGTAACTGGGAGGAACTCTGTGAGGAGCAGATCAACAACTTCCAACAGGTTTGCAGAAAGTTCTGCTTTGATTCCCAGATAGTTGCTTTATGAGACAAGCCAGTGTTTGGGGGAAAGTTCTCTGATTACAGCTCTTTAAAGATAAATGATCTAACTTCATTCCTTAACACTATAAGAAGGAATTAATTTTTAAAAGAGAAAAAATTTGAAGTACTTTGAAAGAAAAAATATAGTAAGAATATGTGATTCATTTTAAAAATTAAAATTTGGCATATCCTTATATTCACTTTATTTTTTTTTTTAATTTTCCATAATGCTCAGTCAGTGTGAATTCATTTGTGCCCATGATGCTAGGACATGAGTTAGCCAGAATGTTACACCTTGGGCCCCAAAATGTGATCTATATATTGAAAATATCAGTTTTCTTAGTAACTGGGTAACAAAGAAGAATCCTGAATTAGAAGGTGTAACCCAAAGAATGTTTAAAAGGTACAGTTTGAGCTTATGTATGCCCATAAAACATATTCATGGACATTTGCTTATGACAAAGACAACTGTGTTTTTCCAAAGACTTTCTTTCGGTTGGTGATTCTAGGATGTAGCCTATAATGAATTGATCTTTAGTGCAAAAGAATTCACGGCAGCCATGGCTTCTCTGACCGCATCTGCTTCTTTTGATATTATTGGTAACCTTTCGCCTACTTTACAAAAAAAAGGAGAGGCAAAACCCAGGAGCCAGATAGTTACAATCCAGATGGTTAGAGGAGAAAATACTTGATTTAAAACCATACACAAATACTGAGCCATCATTGAAGTTCTTGTTGGAAACATGTCTCTGAGCTCTGCTATCCTCTGTCTTGGAAAGAACCTATTCGAGTGCTCACCTTTGCTACCAGTGCTCCATTGTGTGTTCTCCTGAAGGGCATAAACTTGTCACCCAAAAGCTAGATTGTGGCTGGAGTTACTTTGATTGGATATGTTCCTTTGTTTTAAAAGGCTGTAAGTCCATCTAAAAAGGATCTCTCAGACATGTTTACCTTATAACCCCAGCTTAGGGCTGGGCACAGAGGCAGTGCAAGACAAATATTTCTTGATTTGAAATGAAAATGTTGCTTTATAGCCACGAAACTGCAAAATGCAGGAAGGGCCTATGAGAAAACTGATGTTAACAGTAAAGAGAAGGATTTTTCATGCTTACCAGGCATCCTCTGCAGTCCAGGCTAGAATGTGGAGTATGTCGAAAAGGTCAATCATCCCCCGCTTGCCTGACCTTTTCTTAAATTCTGGCCCCTATGCCGAGAAGGATCAGTGGTACTCTCAGGCTGTCTGCCACCTGTTTACATTTTGTTACTGCTTCTTTGCCTTTGATTTTGGCCACTGTCTCTCCAGAAGTGTAGGCATGGGTAGGGTGGAAAAAGATATGGAATTGAGTCAAAATTCTTCTTTTGCAGGCTATACTTACCTTTAATAAAGCAGGAACTAGTCTCTAACTTTCGACTTGGAAAATAAATTAAAAGCCACTTTTACATAAGCAGTAATTAAACTAAGTACACTCAGTTTGTTGTGGCAATATTCGTAAAGTCTTTCAGAACCTAATTTCTTCTTTAATGTAAGCAGATGTGCAGATTTTAGTTTCCTAACAGTTCCTCACCCCAGTTGAATAGAGAGATGGCTGCCTTCACCAAGATGCAGTTTATCAAATGGTCATCTAAGAAGTCTTTGGAGGCCTGCAGCAGTGCGGTAGCACCATGGCTTGCTCAGAAGGCTAGATCACAGTCCTCAGGTAGCTGTTTTACAGCAAATTATTTTCATGGTGATTTCTTTGCCCCAGTGGGGGCTCCCTTCTCAGGTTAGCAGTATGTCAGAAATACTTTAAAGATTAGCAGATGTTTGGGTTAATAAAAACCATGTTTATCTTCTTTCAGGCTATTACACATCCTTACTGTGGTTTCTTTACAGGGGCTTTGAAAAAAGAAAAAACTGCAGTATTTGGCAGAGTTTCATCATTTTAAATATTTCTTTATCATTATAGAATGCACAAAACATTGAATGTAAACACTTCTTAGTGAAAATAGATTAATGGCTCTCATCAGCCGGACATTTTGGACTCTCAGGACAGCACTTCCTTAGATTTGTAGCCTCACTGTCTCCTCCTTAGCCGATTCTTCCCTTGTTCATGTTCCTCTACCTGGAATGTCAGAGAGAGATATATTGTTAAACAGAAGCAGTGTTGAGGACTTCGCACCTGGCCAAAGTTATAGCTCATTTGTTAATGGGAGGAATATTGTAGCAATTAAGCATGTTTGAGAGGGTATCACGAGTCATCAAAGGAAGGTTAAAACTTCACATTCACCAGACACACATGTTAAAACTGAGGCCACTCTGTGCACGGTGGTTCTGATGCTCTTCAGAGTTTTGGGCAGTGTGACTGTATCTGAATTTTACAGGCGTTTTTAAGTGTAGCATACCTTTTGGTAAATGTAGAATATAGTATTGTATACAACTAGGACAGGCTCAAACAGGTTGAAACGAACGTTGGAATGTACACTAATCACAGGTTGCATGCAGCTCTATCTACATTTTTGGAGCTCTCTGATGTTTGAGGAACTTAATAAGTCATATATAATATGCATGTTATGTCAAATAGTTCAGTAGAGGAATAGAGGATTTGCATGTGATATAGACCAAAGGGTATCCAAGAAAGAGGACAGAAAGAATGGCCATCAGGACAGAGGGAGCAGCAAGACCAGAGACACTGGGGCATGAACCTGCTTCCTGGATTTTCCAGAGAGAGGAATTGTTCCCTCTCCTGGTGCATAGCAGCTGCAGGGAATGACAGGAGACGTGGCTGGAAAGCTGGGGCCAGATGGTAGAGACTCCTCCGATCCTTGCTAACAATGTGCTCCCTTGGCAAGCCATATAGATCCCTTGAAGGATTTTGAGCAGAGAAATGACAAGTTTATGCTAGAAGCAAGCAGCATGGAAGGTAGACTGGTGGCATGGAGTCTGGAGGAGGAGAGCAGCTCAGAGAATAGTGTACATTCTTGCTTCAAGTAGTGTTGAGAAGGTACAAATGGGAGGATAGAACTGAATTTAAATAGTCTTCAGAGACAAGAAGGTCAAGTGAAATAGGACAGAGTCAAAAGTCAGTCTGTGTCTCCATTGGGAGAAAAAGGGCTTGGGGAAGAATATATGGAGTTTGGTTTCAAATGAGTCAAAATTGAGGTACTGAAGAACATTCAGGTGGTAAATCCTATATGAGATTGGACATTTTTCATGTGATTCTTAAGAGAAAAGCTGGCACTGAGACTAGAGATTGGAATATCATTTGATAAAAGCTGAGAAGTTTGTCTTTATATATAGAGTTCCTTAAGATTGTATCAGAATCCATGTAAAGATATAATTTTTCTGATTAAAATAATTTCTTTTAAAACATTATAAGGCCAGTTGTTGTGGCTCACTCCTGTAATCCCAGCACTCTGGAGGGCCAGGATGGGTGGATCACGAGGTCAGGAGTTGGAGACCACCCTGACCAACATGGTGAAACCCCATCTCTACTAAAAATACAAAGATTAGCCGGGCGTGGTGGCATGTGCCTGTAATCCCAGCTACTCAGGAGGCTGAGACAGGAGAATCTCTTGAATCTGGGAGGCAGAGGTTGCAGTGAGCTGAGCTCCAGCCTGGGTGACAAAGTGAGACCCTGTCTCAAAAAAAAATTATAATGCAGAAGCTTATGTATAATTATTTTATCTTTTATAGCCTTAATGTTACAAACTTGTCTTAAGTAAGTTTATTTTGTGTGGGTCACAACTTTTATTCCAGAGAAACTCAGTTGTTTTACTTTGATTTTGTCTTAATACTGATGATTTTTTGAAAGAGTTCTTTAATATTAAGCATTTTCAGTGTGATTTTGAAAATTACTCTCCTTGAAAGTGACTGTGAAATTGCTCAGTAGGTTGAGTTTAATGTCAGGCTGTCCCAGCATAAGCTCGTTCTCGCCTTGCTTTGCAGACACATCTTTTTCTTGCACATCAAGGAGGCCCTCTTGGCAGGCCACCTCTTGTGTTCCCCAGAGCAGGCGGTGGAGCTCAGTGCCCTCCTGGCCCAGACCAAGTTTGGAGACTACAACCAGAACACTGCCAAGTATAACTACGAGGAGCTGTGTGCCAAGGAGCTCTCCTGTGCTGCCTTGAACAGGTGAGGCTGCCATCAGGGCTACTGCTTATATCCACAGAGCTATCAAATGCATAAGCATTTCCAGAAGAAGATAAATCTGTGATACATACACTTAATTTGTGAGGTTAAGACTAGGCCATTGACCAATTTCACTGATAATTTTGAAAAACTTGTTAGCCTTTTATTTGAAAAATATATAAACACAGTATGAAATGCTATATAATGAGAATTTTTTAAACCTCTGCCTTTAAGTACAAATCTCCTAAAATAAAGTCTATTATGTGTATTGGTGTTTTCTTCATCCCAGCAAGAATTAAACCAGGAGATCTAACACAGGCATTTTAGTTATCTCTTCCTGCATAACAAGTTACCCCAAAACTTAGTGGCTTAAAACAACAAAAATTGTCTCACAGTTTTGTAGGTCAGGAATCTGGCGATGTCTTAGCTGGGTCCTCTGGCTTTTGGGACTCTAGTCAAGCTGCAGGTGGAACTCAGTCTCATCTGAAAGCTCGACTGAGGGTTGCCTCCATGCCAGGTTGACTTCTGCGGTTTGCTGGTCATCCTCCTTTCCTGGCCACAGGGGATTAGGGCTCAACTTTTACTTGTAAAGTATATGTGGACAAATGCATGAGACCTTCCAACATATAAAGTTGACTCATGTATATTTTTAGAGACTTTCCATAATTCTTCCAATTCATCACGCATCCAGCATCCCCAAAGCATTTTTACCAAATATTTAATAGTTGAGATCTCAGTGTCTTAGATGTTCTTTACAGAAAGTTTGCTAAATAAATGAAACATCAGTCATGCTTAAGTTTTAAGTTGCTGTGATTCATCAGTGTTAGTGTATTTCACTAGTGAAGACTACATAGGTTTATCTCTAAAGTTAATATCTGTATAATTAATTCTCTGTCCTTTTGGTGTCCTCCAGCATTGTTGCAAAACACAAGGAGTTGGAGGGGACCAGCCAGGCTTCAGCTGAATACCAAGTTTTGCAGATTGTGTCAGCAATGGAAAACTATGGCATAGAATGGCATTCTGTGCGGGATAGCGAAGGGCAGAAACTGCTCATTGGGGTTGGACCTGAAGGAATCTCAATTTGTAAAGATGATTTTAGCCCAATTAATAGGTAAGCCAAGACTTACTTGGTTCTGACCTAGGCATGTGTATACTTCTGTGGCTCTCAACATAATAGAAAGTAGGAAGGGATTTACTCAACAGTCAGCTCTTAGGAATAACAGGTTTCATTTTGGATGTACATTAATTTTATTCAGGCCTGAATAACCATTTTAAATGTTAATTCAAGGCATACAATGTGGCAGAGTTAACATTTTCCAAATAATAACCCATTCACTGCCATAAAAAACTTGTTTTCACCTCTAGATGTGCATGTGGGCACACGCAACACTTGTTCCCACACTTCCCTCCACATATGGCCAACTGCTTTCCACTGCACCTTTCTGACCAGGCAGCATGATGGTGATGGGATAGCCCTAGAGGAGGTGTCTTGATTTTTCTGCTGGGTCATGAGCAAACAAGGATCCCACAAAGGCACACACATGGTGAAGAGTCACTCCTTCTAGCGCTGCTTTCTTTTCTCTTCCCGTCTCTTAGGATAGCTTATCCTGTGGTACAGATGGCCACCCAGTCAGGAAAGAATGTATACTTGACGGTCACCAAGGAGTCTGGGAACAGCATCGTGCTCTTGTTTAAAATGATCAGCACCAGGGCAGCCAGCGGACTCTACCGAGCAATCACAGAGACACACGCATTCTACAGGCAGGTATCCCGTGTGCTTGGTCACCTCAGCACTGCAGTTCTAAGGTTTTTAGGTGACAGCCAGGTTTCTACGGTTCCTTGAATCATTGTGTCAATGAATCTAGTACAGAATTTAAGACATTCTGAACATTCTGTTTCCATAGTAGCAGTGGGGACCTTATTAATGTAGTCTTGTTTTACCCACAGAAAGTGCATGTGTGTGAGCCACACAGACATTCTCTGCTTACCTCCTACCATATTTTCTTATGCCATTGGTCCAGAAACAAACTGTGTTAGGAGATTTCTATGCATATTTGATCAATACGACAACCCTAAGAGGTTAAGTGTTATTACCCTAATGAAAATGAGGGAACTGGGAGGATAAATATTTACTTGGTCTAGAACTCAGGTTCAAAGCCAAGTTTGACCACCCTAAAGGTAACCCTGAGTGGTTGGGCCTGCTCTGCTGCCCAGGAGAAGGATAACGCAGGTCATCTTTTCATTCTGGCAGAGCTGCTATCCTGAGTTCTCACTGCGTATGAAAGGATTTTTTAATAATTGATTCCCTCATTTCAGAGGGTACTTTAAAGCCACGTTGTGATTGGACTCAGGTATTTGGATAATTAAAGCTAAGAAATTTAAGTTGTAGGCAACTTGAAACCTTTTTTTTTGAGATGGAGTTTCGCTCTTGTTACCCAGGCTGGAGTGCAATGGTGCGATCTCGGCTCACTGCAACCTCCACCTCCTGGGTTCAGGCAATTCTCCTGCCTCAGCCTCCCGAGTAGCTGGGATTACAGGCATGCGCCACCATGTCCAGCTAATTTTTTGTATCTTTAGTAGAGACGGGATTTCACCATGTTGACCAGGATGGTCTCGATCTCTTGACCTCGTGATCCACCCCCCTCAGCCTCCCAAAGTGCTGGGATTACAGGCTTGAGCCACCGCGCCCGGCCGAAACTTTTTTATATTAAAACAGATGCACAAATTGTGGAACAGAATGGAAAATTTGTAGACATTTTTAACATTAAAGCCAAGACTTCAAAGCAGATGTCCTTTTTCTTCCATAAGCAACTTGACTTTGTAGCTTCTGTCCGAGGGAGGAGCTGCGCTCACTGCCCTCTGTATTTATGGCTGCTTTACCAGAGCCCTGATGTTAGGAGCTGTTGGAGAAACAGAGGTGTAGTCACTGAGATACTGACCATACGTAAAACTGGAAGGACTTACTTTCACACATGCAGACAAGAATATGGAACATCTGCTGACATTTCTGTTCTTGACAGTAGCGGATTAGGGGGCTGCCGGGCTCTTCGGTGTTAAAGTAGATGTTCAATCTTGCCTTGCAGGTGTGACACAGTGACCAGCGCCGTCATGATGCAGTATAGTCGTGACTTGAAGGGCCACTTGGCATCTCTGTTTCTGAATGAAAACATTAACCTTGGCAAGAAGTATGTCTTTGATATTAAAAGAACATCAAAGGAGGTGTATGACCATGCCAGGAGGGCTCTGTACAATGCTGGTGTTGTGGACCTCATTTCAAGAAGCAACCAGAGCCCTTCAAACTTGCCTCTCAAGTCCTCGGAAAGCAGCATGAACTGCAGCAGCTGCGAGGGCCTCAGCTGCCAGCAGACCCGGGCGCTGCAGGAGAAGCTCCGCAAGCTGAAGGAAGCCATGCTGTGCATGGTGTGCTGCGAGGAGGAGATCGACTCCACCTTCTGTCCCTGCGGCCACACTGTGTGCTGTGAGAGCTGCGCCACCCAGCTGCAGGTACGGGAGTCAGCTGCCCACTTTACTTTTGCCTGCAGCCTCACCTTCCCTCCTCTTAATGGCGAGTAGGTGCCAGGTACTGGCTCGCTAATGCACAGATAGGGAATGCCCATCTTCACCGGGAAAGGGTCTTTGTATTTGGTGACTTAAAAGATATTGCCCTTTGGAAACATTTTAGATTAGTGTACTATTTTCAGCAACATAATTACTCCAAATTACATCATTTTTTTTTTCAAGTTCTGGAAATGAGGCTCAGATTCCTGAGTAACATATCTAGTTAGCAGCCAACCCGAGGACTAGAATCCAGGCCTCCTGAGACCTGGTCCATGCCTGCTTCCTCCATTTCAAATTACCTCCCATTTTCTCACACTTAGGAGGATGGCCTTTATTACTTAAGACGTTTGGGAAAGAATACTTCTCAGTTATCCATGGATGGGTTGCTGACTCTGGTCTTGCTGATCCATCTCCTTTATGACTCCATATGCCTCAGGAGCATATGGGTTGACTATTATTTAATAGCAAGTCAAACTAATTTTAATATTAACAAAGAAAAGGGAACTCACATAGTTTTCTTCCTTTCTTGCATGAAGAGGAATTTTTAATTTCCTCATATACTAGTTTTTTCAATTTGTTCTTATTTCTCAGAAGGGTTTGCTAAATGTCACTATGGTTTTAGGTACAACTGGTCCTAAGTAATATTTAGTTTTTCAGAAGCTGTTAATTTCAGAGCTAGTAAAACCAAACGCCACCTGAGGCAGTCATGGGCTTGTCTTTTTCTGCCCACCTATTCTGACTCTCATCCCTAAGTCTCTCCTGAGGGCTGATGATGAGTCCGGACTTGCTGAGAAGCCAGCCAGGAATGTGGAGCTGCCCTATAGCTAGGAGCAGAGCCACCCTCCCTGGCCATGTGGGCATCAGCCCAGAAATGTTGGCCTGAGTCAATTAGCTGAGCTAAGAACACACAATTTCAAGAAGGGTCTCCTGCATGACTGCCTGAAGGGTTATAATCTACTCACATAGAGACCACATTCTGCACAGAAAGATACCTTCAGTAATTGCTTTACTCAGTGTGACTTATTCAGGGTTTGACTAAAAGTGTGATTTCCTTCAGTTTATACAATTTCATAATATTTATTTTTAAGCCCTTGTAAAGTATAAACTTTCAAACTTGTAAGACAGCAAATATCTCTACCAATTGAAAGCCAGAAATCACTGTGATCACAATTTATTTAGAACATGAAATGCACTAGAGACCCGGGTGTGCACAGAGACACAGGCCCCCCGCCAAGGCTTTCATGCTAACAGAGACTGTTGGCTTTTCTTTTCCAGTCATGTCCCGTCTGCAGGTCGCGTGTGGAGCATGTCCAGCACATCTATCTGCCAACCCACACCAGTCTTCTCAATCTGACTGTAATCTAATCGCTTGTGCTTTTATTGGACTTGCCATGTTTCCATGAACTGCACTACTATAAATTATAAAAATGATAGATTGTGGAGAAAGTAATTACTCCAGCAACCATCTGCCACACGATGTTTAAAAAAAAAAAAAAAGAAAAATAACACAGCTACCCCTCACTGCAAAAACATATCCATGTGTACAATCAACAGCTCCAGTGGTGGGGACCAGGAGGAGCTCTGGGACGTGGACATGTTCCTTGGATGTTGATTTTTTTTATGAATAAGTAAAGTCTTCGATGTCAGTGAAGTGGCAACATAGCCAAAAAAAGTTGGGTACCTTTTAGGAAATGATGTTGTAAGACTCCTTAATGTATCCCGAGGTAAGTTTCCTATCGGCAGCAAATTTTGTAAGAATTAGATTTAAGAATTTCGTTCTTTTTGTATGGTTGTGGAGCTCCAAACATTTTTAATAGGAAAATTTTTCTTAAATTGTTATCATTTTAATGTCATTCTGTCTTTATAACTTGATCAAGAATGGTTGAAATGCAAAAAGATTTAAAAATCAGTTCTTGGAGGCTGAGGCAGGAGAATTGCTTGAACCCAGGAGGCAGAGTTTGCAGTGAGCAGATATCTCGCCATTGCACTCCAGCCTGGGAGAAAAGGCCAGACTCCATCTCAAAAAAAAAAAACAAAAAAGTCAATTCTGTGACTTTTAAAAAGTTTACAGTGTTGTCATATTTAAACCAGTCTGGCTGGTAAAAAGCAGCTCACTCAATATGGTGGCTCCCTATTCCTTTTCACTCCCCCATCCCAACCCCCTCTCCCAAGACTTTCGATTATAAAATGCTACCAATTTGTTATGAGATTACTGTGGAGTAGTCAAGTACTCCCCGGGCCTTCTGAGCTGCTGGAATATTTGATTTCAGACTGAAAACGGAGAGCAGTCTCCTTGGGGAGAGAAAGCAGAGCCTCATGGTGTACAACTGACGGTGGTTAACTCATCACTTCTCCCAAGCACTCCATCCCAGCTTCACCCATTGGTGTCACTTCACTGGAACTGTCAAGCCTTCTATAGCCTTGCCAGAAGTATTTAGATGTTGTGTCCTTTTCTGTGTTTCTTGGGTTTTGTTGTGTTTTTAAAAGTAACTGCTTAAGTACTAACTTTGGGCTGTCCCCTCTGTATGTTTTGGAGGGGCTTTGGTTCTTTTCGCTTCTGTATTCTTAAACATGTTTTCCACTCCCACTTGGGCATTTTAGAAGCTGGTCAGCTAGCAGGTTTTCTGGGATGTCAGGAGACCTAGATGACCTTATCGGGTGCAATACTAGCTAAGGTAAAGCTAGAAACCTACACTGTCACTTTACTGAGATTTCCGAGTATACTTTTCATATTGCCTTAATGTAGCAGTAATGTGTTTATGCATTTGTTTCTTTGCACAGACATTTTGTCAAATATTAAAACTCTACTTTTTTATGGCACATATTAGCATATAAGCCTTTATTCCAAGAGGTATTTATTTTTTCACTTGTAAAAAAATGTTTCCACATAAAGAACTCTGTTATATCCTAGAGGACTCTGTCTTTTATATTCAGGATAATAAAGACTTTAATGCAAACATGGATGTGTGTATTGTAATCATTATTGTCATTTAATTCATTAAGCTAATTTTATTTCATTTCAAAGAAATAGCAAGGGGTAATGTCACAGTTGGTATCTAATTTGCTCCTACCTGGAATTTTTTTTTTTTTTTTTAATAATTTCAGTGCTCTACAAATTCAGAGAAACTTCTCTAGTAGCAAACTATAGAAATAATCCTTGAAAATATAGTCTTTTTTTCAAGAAAATTTGAAAACATTTAGGGTATTGTTTCTAATTGAGATTACTTCACCTAGTCTCTTATCTATGTTTGGGGGTGGTAGGATTGGAATATAGGGGAAGTGGGGTCACATGCATAAGCAGATGAAAAAAATTAGGAAAAATACTTGAAGCTACTGGTGAAGGAAGGGAGCGGCAAAGTTGGAAGTTAATTAAAAAACCCAGCTGGTGCTGCTGTTGTGTGGCCTGGTCAGGACGGGAAGTGGCCTAGGTCACAGCAGTAAGGGTCTCAGGCTGTCGAAGCTTGGACTGTATTCCTGCAGGACCACTGGTCTACTGCTGCTGGACCCTAACTGCTCTGTGCTCGCCACTGCGTGCTCATCTGTGTTGCTCAGGAAATACATTTTGGAATAGCAAATATTGTACATAATATATATAAGTAATCATCCGTAGCAATTAGAGGAAGGTGTAAATTTATATTTTAATTAGAGGCAAGGGGATTTGTTTTTACTGTACCTATAACCCAAGTCAATCTTCCATCAATTTCTAGGAATTAACTCATTTGTTCATTCAACACATTTATTGCAAACTACTAAGTTAGGATTGAGTCCTGGAAATGTAACAGTCATTAAGACATAAATGATTCTGGATGCCTGTATCATGTACTTAGCCGGTAACCTGTACTATCGCCTCTGCACAGAAGTTAGATAATAGAAACCAAGAATACTAGCATTGGAGGGAGTCTTGGGCATAGCAGTCTCAAAATGCTAGCCAGGTTGATGGAGGGATGGATGGGTGATAGGCCGACAAATAGATAAGATTACATATTGTTCACCCTAGTAGACCATATGGATGCCTTAAGCTCAGTGACTAACATAAAAATCACTATATTACATGGTAGCATAATAGAACTAGAAGGGAAGTACAGAACAAGAAGGGAGGCACAGGAAGCAGTGATTTCATTCTGCTCAGGAGCCAAGGGTAAAGGTGCTTCACAAAGGATCATTGAGCAGAGCCTTGACATTCTAGTTGGAAAAAGAAAGTAGGCTGGGCATGGTAGCTCACGCCTGTAATCCCAGCATTTTGGGAGGCCAGCATGAGTGGATCACCTGAGGTCGGGATTGATGGAAAGGGAAAGCATGAGACTGCAAGAGAGGCCACAGGCGAGGAGCAAAGGGTACGAGAGAGGACAGAAGTAGAGCCAGTTCATGAAGAGATGTGACTGCTAGAATAAAGCTGTCAGCTTTGATTTGATGAGTATGTAAATGCACAGTAAGGTCTTTATACGTTTGATTCATTTGGCTCTTCATTCCTTAACTTGGGCATTGATTTATTCAGCAGGTGCACATTAGATACCTAGAATATATCAGGCTCTCTGTTAGGGCTAGGGCAGTGGTTCTCGATCGGGGAAGTATTGTCACCAAGAAGTGTCTGGAGAGCAATGTCTGGAGATGTTCTTCAATGGTGATTATGCGGGTAAGTGTCTACTGGCATTTAGTGGGTGGAGGCCAGGAATGCTGCTAAACGTCCTACAATGCACCGAATAACACCCCCACAGCAAAGAATACTGCCATTTCCAGCTCCAAATGTCAATATTGCTGCTGTTGAGACACCCTGGGCTGCATGGTACAGATATCTGAGGTGCAGTCCTTGCCCGCTGTGGGATTCCAAGGGCAGTTGAGACGGTAAACTACTAATTCCAGTCTACTAAGCTCCACAGTGGAGGCAGGCATCAGGCGCTATGGAAGAGCAGATGTGACTCACTTTGCTTTGGGCTGGAAGGTTTCCTGGAGGAAATTTCCATTGGAGAGGAGTCTTGGAAGGTGAACCAGAGCTCGCCAGGTACGACAGGTGGGTGGAAAGAGCCAGTTCAAAAATGTAGCATATTTGGGGACCCGTGGGCAGTTTGGCGTAACTGAAATACAGGGTATGTGGTTGGATGGGTTGGTATGGAACAACAGGAGATGGGACTGGGAAGTCAGGCTGGGGTCTTATCCAGGAAGGTGCTAGAGGCCTGGTAACCCCTCCTCCCAGCCCTACTGATAAGGTCAGTGTCCACAAAGGTCATGAAAGGGAATGCCGAAGTGCTGGGTTCCTCAGTTCTGTTCACCGCATTCTTGTCTCCTGTCCATAGATCTTACTGCCTCGCCCGGGCTCTGCCAAGCATGCGTCCCCTGAGTTTTTGATGAAGGTAATAGCAAAATGAAACCATTGCTAGTAATGTGCCCTGGAGACTGGAGCTGTCAGGTAATCATTCAGAATTTAAAAGCTCATCTCCACATTCCTTCAGATGAAGAAAATGGTAGGATAAAAAAATATAGCACAGCTTATTAGTAACATCTCACCCATTTTTTCCCTAAATGGTTAGAACATGCTGCCTTTCCCTGCTCTTTACATCAGCGTTTCCATCATTTAAGCTATTTTTCAGTTCTAAATCCTAGGAGGATTTTCCCCATGAATTTAACATGACTGAGGAAGCTTGCTCCAGGGTAAGACTTTGCTGCAAATTATCTGAGATCCGCTTCTTAACAAAGAGACCGAAAATGAATCATCGCCTTTTAGCAGTTTCAAATGTGGCATTACCCTTTCTCCTCCCCCACCCCACTATCATGATTATTCATAATGGAAATGGGCCAGCTTTATAAATAATTACACACAACAAAAGTCCTTTGTGTTAAACACTGGAGCTTGCTGCTGATGTGGGCCAGGAGAGTGTGCGTGCTAGAGTTAGGGGAGACACAGAGAACCAGGCAAAGCTGCTGTGTCTAAGCTTCGTACGTGAGGTACGACACCCCTAGACCCAGGCAGCACCTTCTGAAACGGCACTCGGGTTACTTGTTCAAGCCCAAGTCCCTATAAATGTATTACCATGACTGTCCTGGTCTGTAGATATTATATAGGCTCTTCCAAATGCAAGTGTAACTTACACAAATGAACAATTGTACTAGAAAAGGAAACTATTAAAGCAGCTTTACAAAACCCTCCCAGCACCCTCTCCTGCTCCCTCGCTGGGGGACGAAGGGTAAGACATACCCTTATGCTTTTATCTGTGGGAGCCACGAGCCACACCTCTATTTCAGTAGATGCTAGAGAGTGTTTCCCTCTTCATACCACCTCTATGTTTGAAAGCTATTTCTCCTTTAAAAAAATTAATTTTTTTAAGGAGATGGAGGAGTCTTGCTATGGCATCCAGGCTGGCCTCAAACTCCCAGACCTCAACCTCTCGAGTAGTTGCGACTACAGGAACATGCAATCTTTCTCCTTTTAAGAGGAAGCCATGCCTCCTCTCTCCCCTCTGGCATTTAACCTAAATTTACATGCAGTGCTTAAGGATCTTTGGTGGAGTCCCTGAGCGGGTGGTTCTAAAGGCATGATGGGAATTGGTTCATTTCATTCTCACAACATGCCTATGAAGCAGAGATTCTTCTTGGCCTCATTTTACAGACGAGGACCTGAGGCACAGGGAGCCGGAGTGACTGGCTCAAGGTCACAGAGCTGGAAAAGGGAGAGGCAGGAATCACATGCAGGGCTCCGAGTGCCCCCCGCCCCCGACATGCCCGGCCACAGTACTGCTTCTGAGGGGCAGCCTTACACGTGGCCCAGGATTTCCCAAAAGTTTCACCTTACCGCAGATTGTCTGAAAGGACAAAATGCCCAGTACATGTGTTCTGTTTTGGTTTTGCTTTGTTTTTAAGGAATGTGACTAACCGCCCAGACCCTCTCCACCAGTGCCCTGGAGTTTGAGGACACAACCATTGATTGCACCAATCCTCGGTAGCGAGGGCTGTCAGGCTTCCCCCTTTTGGGCAGCCCAATCACAGCCCAGGAAGGCATTTTACAGCAGTGTGTGTGTGTATTAATTACCATGTGTTTTTATAGGGAAAACACCTTAAATAAACAGTGAGAAGGCAGACAGGTAAAACCAAATGGGATGACAGTTCTGGGATCTCCAGCGCTCTTTTGCGCTGTTTGAAAGGACTGTAGAAAACAAGTGAAACGCATCAGTCAGTCCTGGCAAGCCTTTGCAGTTTCAGAGTTTCCATGTCATTACTCATCTCTTTGCTGGCCCTTCCCCTCCCACCTTCGAATTTCCACCACTAAGCCCTGGGGAGAGAACAAGAGCTGTGGGCCAGTCAGGCCTTAGCGGGGAGGCAGAGAATCCATGCACATCCTTCATCTGCACAGCAGACCCCCAAGGGCAGCTCCTGTTCCAGGCCCACATCCACTGGGAATCTGGCCAAAAGACCAGAGCCAAGTCCACAAAGCATTTCTGAGAAATGGATATTTCACTCAAGGCTTTGAGGAAACATCCTCATTATACAGGAGATGTGGCAAAAAAAAAAAAAAAAAAAAAACCTAAAAACTCCCTCTTAAGCATCTCTGTTCCTCTCTTCCAGACACAATAAACAGCAACAAAGGGAGGGGCAGGGGAATGAATGTAATGACTAAAGGAAGGACAAAATAGAAGATGAGAAAGAACAAGGGAATGAAAATACTTTTCTGTGAATGCAGGTAAACCAAGTATCTTTGTTGGCTGAAATCTATGGGGAGATGATAGTGAAGCAGAACATTTCCGACTCCTTTGCAGGTGGGAACTGGAGTGCAGGTGTCGGAGCTAGCCAGCTGCTTCAGCACTGGCAGGGGTGAGCTCCATTCACTTGAACCCATTGCTCTCAATCCCTTGTAGGAGGGAACACACACGTGAGTGGATGCAGGAATCAGGGCAAGTGCTTTCAGGCACTAGCAGGAGCAAATTCTTGTGTGGCCCATGGCAGCATCTAGGGGGTAGAACCTGTGATGCTGT